TGCATTTTGAGAAATTCAATCAAAGAGTCATTACCTCTTCAAAGCATGCTTTGAATCATACATTGCCCAGCCCCTGGAATGCTTAAGGATTAAGGTTTTGTGGTGTCCCAGGGAGGGGGTCCAGGGTGGTGCCCACACAGGTGTCTGGGTTTCAGGGCAAGGGATTGTGGGGTCCCAGGGGGGGGGCCCAGGGTGGTGCCCACACGGGTGTCTGGGTTTCAGGGCGAGGGATTGCGCTGTCCCTAGGGGGGGCCCAGGGTGGTGCCCACACAAGTTTTGTGGGGGTACCCAGACATGTGTCCTCGTTTCAGGGCAAGTTTTGTGAGACGTTTGAGGGGGGTCGCAGGGGGCGCCCAGAACAGGTGTCTTGGTTTCAGGGCAAGTTTTGTGGCCAGGTGTCGGTTTCAGGCAAGTTTTGTGGTGTCCCAGGGCAAGGTCACAGGGGGTGCCCAGACAGGTGTCTGTTCAAGGCAAGTTTTGTGGTGTTACAGGGGGTCGCACAAACAGGCGGCTTCAGATCAGGGCCTGGGGAGGTAACCCTAAAGCTTTAATGAATACAATTCATAAGTTAAGGCATTCCAGGGGCTGCTCGATTTGTGGAGTGTGCAGTATACAGTATCCACACTACAAAAGGTGCAGAGGTGCATGTGTGCACAGTGCGTGGTCAGGCATTTCCATCATCCGAAATGCAGGATCTCTATACCTCCGCTCTGAATTGAGCAAAGTTTCTTTTTTAGATGCAAGGATTTATGCAAACATTCACATCACGACAGTCTGCTTGTGGACGTAGACTCCCTGGCCTCCAACCTAATAGCGATGGCCTCCAACCTAGTAGCGATGGCCTCCAACCTAATAGCGGCTTAATAGCCATGGCAGGAGGAGGAGTAGTAGTAGGAGCAGCAGCAGCAGTATCTCAAGATTGAGAGGTTTGCTGTTTGATCGTCTCCTTGTAGACTTGTAGAAAAACAGGTTCCCCCTTGCTACTGTAGGCAAAAGGCAGCAAAGTTGAACCAAAACCTCACGTTCATAGGTTTCTCCGTGGGCAAAGATGCTGCGCATGTGTCGCAGGCTCACACTGTGGAAAGGTATACGAACCGTGGACTTTGCTGTGGGCACCCTTCAATCATAACAATACGATACACAAAAGCCTTTTTCCCATTCTTCCGGTCCATCAGCTATCATCCTCACACTCACTAAATTCGGAAGCAGAACCAGCTTCTGGTAAGGACTGCATTGGATCCATCCTTTCATGGACCCTAAACCACCGCTTCTTTCCAATGTCCGCAGCGCACAAAACCTGAGTGCAAGGAACTCTCGTGTTGAGTTCACAAGTGATGGTAAAAGGAGTGCCTGGTGCCAGAATTCAAAACATTGGAATTGAACCTTGATGCTGCTTTGAATTAAACATCTTCTAGGCGCGGCCAAAAGGAAGGAGGCGATCGCGGGCACCGTCATTGCGTTTCCTCAACTCAGACTGAAGCCAAGACCACAACCGTTGAACCAGATCTCAGACGCATACTGCATGGCCAAGTGACCACTCAAGAGGCTGTAGAAGGCATTTTTCTCCATGACGTCGAAGGAAATGGACTCAACATCAAAACCTTGCCTAGGCCAAACAGGCTGTAGCGGAGCCTGCTACCTTAAAAATTTGAACTTAGAGGCCGCAGGGACAGTGGCGTGCCAGGTCTTGTTGGAAGATGGGGCAAAGGTTGGAAATCCTCCCTGGTCCATTCTCATTACTGCCGGCCGAAATAGACGACTTTTTTTGTTTTGACTTGAGGACAATTTTTGGTGCTGCAAGGGCAGCGGGATGATCTGAGATCCGAATCAAGTTGGTTCCTTTGGTTCGTGTGTTGTCCTTTGGGCCCATTACCATCATTACCTTCTTTGTAAATCTTTGTTTGTCCTAGTCCTATTTTCGGCTTTGCTTGGAACTTTCGGAAATCCTCTGATCGAAACGTTGCGACGCTTGTCCTGAACAAAAATCCCACCCTTCAATGAATGAAAAGGCGCAGCCCTGAAGCAGCCTCAGTACTTCTAGTTTCTTCTTACTTTGGAGGCTCTGCAGGGCACAAGACCCTACCGCAACAAACTAGCCAAGGAACAGGGACATCATGTGGGGTGGGCGAAGCAGCATATTTCTGGAACCAAAAACATAGATCTTCGAGTTGGTAGTGAGCCTGAGGCGAAAACAGAACTAAAGTGAGCTGGAACAAAGCCGTTCCAAAATCATTATCCTAGCTTCAAGTCACAGCAATTCCAAGTGGTGGCTTTCATGTAGACGACAACTTCTCGTCTTTTCATTCACTCTCATCACCCCAGCGCAACGTCGCGCAGGCAATCCGCTTGTATGTGTGTGCGCGCGTGTGTCTCGTGTATTGAGTAGTAGCCCTGGTAAGCAGTTGGCCAAGTGGTCAAAGTTGCAAAGTGGTCTAGCATGCATCTAGCGCGGATCTAGCGCGCTCCCCTGCCAGTGCGTCAGGGCACCAAACGGCTATCATCAAGAGCACGTGTTGCGGTCTGCCGGCTTTCCTAGCTTTGACATCGTTATACAATGGCTCTTCCACGCACAAAGAATCCGAAACACGATGGGAGCATGCCCGCAGTGGATGGGCGTCGGTGGCCCCTGCTTACATAAACCAATCACAGCCAAAACGGCCGGGTTGTCCGTTCATACCTCAACAAATTTAATTGCCAATGTGTGTAAGTGTTGTTTGTTAATGTTACCTAAGTTTTTGAACCTAGCGCCATACCTAGCGCAACACTGCGTTTTGCTAGAGCGACAAGGTAGCATCTCCAAGTTAAGCAACAGAATACCAAGCGGTGGCCAAGCTATTTCTGAACCTCTGGGAACCTTCCTTACTTAATACATATATTGCCGGGTTGATTTTTTCAGCCCAACTGAGATTTGAGAATCAACCGTGTTTGAGGCGAACAAGCAGCGTTGGGCATAGCCCATCAATCCGGATTGCACCTCTGCTCATAGACTTGATCACATCTGTAACGGCAGTTTGGTGGCTTTGATCTTCCTGAGCTGGTTGCGTAGTCGACAAAAATACGAAGGCGAACCCCTCCCCCGGAATGACCTCAGGAGGCTCTTACCGTGAGCGGATCCCCAACACAGAACGACACTTAACCCCAGACAGAACGACAGAATGAAACACAATGCAAGCTGCCAGCCCATGGTGCAGAAGGTCAAGCTGCTCCATCTCCCTTGTGGTCAGACCACGACACCAGCCAACACCATAAGCGCGCAAGCACTGAAGTGTATACCTGAAATCCAAACGAACAAGGCGCTCAACATCCCCAAACCAAAACCAAAGCGTGAGCACGCGTGCCCTTTCAGAGCTTTCTCATCAAAAACCAGATGCTTCCGGTACTCCTCCGGAGGAACATCTTTAAGCCCCAGCTTTTCTTTCTGAACATCAAGTCCCTCTCGCATGCGCCCTGATGTGATTTGTGGAACGTCAACCTGGGCGCCAAAAGAACAACTCAACCAGAACAGGTCTGCAGAAGATGGAAAATGGAAACGGTTTCTTTCAATGAACGACGACGCCGCCGCATAACTTTGCATAGCACACCGTACATGGCACGGCGTATCATACATACAATCATAGTATGACTTGAGGTACGACAGAATAATGCGATGACAAAAGAATGCGGCGATATCGATATCAAATAATTTTGCTGTTCCATCTTCTTCTTGTGCTTTGTCAATGCCACTGTTCAGCATTGCATCAGGGCCTCTGTGGATTTGCAGAGCGCGCTGGCAGTAGTATCAGTACTACAGTATCTAAATTATCTAAATCTAAATGATGCAGCAGTCCAACTTTCTGATTCTTTTGAACACTCGGAAAAGAACCTGCAAACATGGGCGGAAGTTGTTACAACTTGTAACAGGAGGGGGTTCGCTGCTTTCATGTTCGGGGCTGCGCGGGGTTGCAATTGCACCCCACCCCAGGGCGACCCGGCCAAAATGGACCATCGGGTCAATTATCTTGAAAAAAGCGCTTTGCCCTGCTATCGATTCGTGGCACCGGCCTTCCTCAGTTTGCAACAAGAAGTTTGTGATGGAGTCTAGAATCGGGGCATAAAGTGACTATCGAACCCTATTTTCATTCTTTTTCAAGTACACGGGCACGGTGCATTTGGCGCCAATCAGAGTGGCCTCACTTCTTGGCCTTCTTGTTTGGTGTGCCACTTGGCGGCCCCATAACGCGCTTCGCATCGGCTGCTTTCTTCAAGTCCTAAACCCCCAAGTGAAAGTTCTGTTTTTCTGGTATCTTCCACCGGCGATCGATGAACAAAAGACTGCTTGACACTACTTGGGGGGTGAAAAAGGAACTTGCTCCTTCTCGTGCTTCTCAACCAGCTTCACCACCTCCGGCATATAATCCTTCTTGGCAAGTTTCAACTTAGTCGAAACATAGTTTTGGAGGTTCTTGTAGGCTTGGAGCAGCTTGGTCTCAGTATCCTTGCGAAAGAAGATCTCCGCGCTGCAAACGACCTGGATGCACACGCCCAAGTCCGTAGATGTGGGCCCTTCTTGGGAAGACTGCTCCAAAGCAGCCAAATCACTTTTCAGGCCAACCTCCTCGTTTGCCAGGTCAGCTTTCCAGCAGAGGATCTGGGAAGCCTTGGCCTCCAGCTGCAGCAAACCCATCACACCTGTACGAATGGCCGCGAATGACAAACAAAGCAGATTGACAACAGAGTATGGACAAAGCATGACAAAGCTACTCTGCGCCTATCTTAGCCGGTCGGATTGCACCCCATGACAACTTCTAGAAACTGGCAGCCAAGCCTTCGTGCGCTTTGCCCACATCGTTTTGCCCTTCCGAGCCAGCCGCCGGCTGCTCAATCTCCTTGACCATGGCTTGCACCGACTCATCGAAGGCGTTCTTGTCTGCAACCGCTTTCTTTACAGCGTGAAATTGCTCCCAAATATCCTTCAGGTTGGCTTTCTGGCTCACCATGGCATCTCGCAAACTGTCAATGGTGCTGACAAGGCCACCTTTGATTTTGGCGGCTACGGAAGCAACCTCCTGCGGTGCTACTTGGCGAGCATCCTCCGATGCCAAGTCCAACAAAGCAAGGATTCCTCGCTTGATCACGTCCTTGTCACCCCAAGCAGTGCCTTTGAACATGTCTGATTCGGGGCTGTTGGCAGCCTCAGCGATGTGATCACAGATTCGAATCTTTTTCTGGACCTGGAGTCCCAAACCAGAACGGACAGTTCCTGCCAAAGATGTCAACTCATCACGCAAACCGCTGGCCACCAAGGAAGCGCACCAAGAATCTGGCTTTGCGAAAAGCTCATCATCTGTCACACGTTTCTCCGCTGCGGTGAACAGATCTGCAAAGCACTTCAGGTTGGCATCCTTGAGATCTTCTTCGGAAAAAGATGCAAAGTGCTGCTGCAAAGTGACCAACCCTTTGACTCGCTGAAGCTTCATGAGGTTGGTAGTTGCATTGACAAAGGTCTCAACAGTCAACTTCTTCTCCACATCCAGCAAGCTACCATTCGCGGTTGCAATCTCTCGCCAAAAGTTGGAGAGGGCTCCAACGATGTCTTCAGGGAGTTTCTTGCGATAGCTTGCCTGCGGCGCAAATAAAGCCACAAGGCCATCGAGCGACTGCGAAAATCCTAGCTCCCTCCCCCCAAGAAAAGCCAAAAACAGGTGGAAGGCCCATTAAAGCCCATTAGTATGAGTTGTTAGCTTCGCCTCCATTGCACACAGGATCTTCCGCACATTGGGGAGAATTTGACCTGTCTCCGAAAGAGATTGCACAGGGTCAGAGATCCCTGCGCAAACGGTCGAGAAAGCCGGCACCAAGAACTTCTCCACAAGGGATCGCACAAAGCTCACCTGCGACTGCATGGTTTTGATTGCCTCGGTCTCAGCAGCTTCATCTCCCATGGCCTTTTGTTGCGCGGCTGCATTCACAGCAGTAAAGGGCGCAAGGACTTTGGGCACGTCTTCCTGGTTGTTCATAAAAGCCAGGAGCAGCATTGGCGCATCAATGTGCTGGAGGACCAAAGAGGGGAACCCTTGCACAATCGCTTCATGCTCGCTGGCAGCCTCGTCGCCAGTGATGAACGTAGATGCTAGCTCCTTCACCTTCTGCAACTGGTTCCTTGGCTATTTTTGGTACCCGATTGGGGAATTCCATTGCGCGCATCTTCCACCTCTCAGCCTCCTATGATAGCCCTACCGGCAAAAGCACCAGAGTATGAATCACAACCTCCCCGATACGATACACCTTCAAGTTCACGTCCTAATGCACATGTCACAGCGTTGCAAAAACTAATCAGAAATCAGAACGTTTCAAGTTTTAGACTGTTGGCGCAAGGTTCTTTGCAAGCCCTTTTTTCACAAAGCCCTGGAACTTGACCGAGCAAGCAGTGAGGTGGTCCCATACTTTCTTGGCGTTGAAGCACTCCTGCGGAGTGCCTGCCCCATCTTCCTCGTGCAAAAACAACACGCCGATTGGTCGTAAACGCGCGCCGGCGACGATCAAAATCCCCTTGTAAACGGACCTATCATGTCCATTTTGTCCCACGCACAGAATGGTTTCAGCTACACAGCAATTCTTTGCCCACAGCAACATCCACAGAGAGTTGTTGAGTGCCCACCGGAACTTACTCTCCAGCTCACATGGAAAACGAATATATAATATACACGCACATAGAAGAATACACATGAAGTTGTGATGTCGATGACAATGTTGTGATTGGTATAATCTAGCTTCCACTTTGGGCTCAATTTCAGAAAGTGCCCTGGGACCTCTTTACAATCAAAGAATGGGTTTCCAGGACACCTCTCAAAATACAACAAATTCAAAGCACCCTGAAGCCAAGCGGAAACTTGCCAGTTGTGAAATCGACTTACCCCCATGCACCCCACCCACCCGCCCCATTTTAAACAGTTGACTAATTAATCGATGACAATGTTGTGATGTCGAGGACAATGTTGTGATTGGCAATTTTCCACTTTGGGTTCAATTTCAGAAAGTGTCGGCACCTCTCAAAATACAACAGAGCACCCTGAAGCCAAGCAGAAAATTTGCAGTTGTGAAATCGACTTAAACCCCCACGCACCCCACCTTCCAGACGACTAAACGATGACGATGAAAATGTTGCGACGTCGAAGACAATGTTGTGACATCGATGACGTCGATGACAATGATGTGACATTGATGACAGTGTTGCGATGTCGACTTACCATACGGGGTGGGTTGCATGAAACCATACCATATGTGGGTTAAAATGCAGGTGAAACCTGATTCTGCTGGGGTAAAGCAGCGTTGCGCGCGCGTTTACGTGCAATCGGGCCCAAAAGAAAGCCAAGGCAAACACACGTGACCCGGTATCAAACCCAAGGCAAAACAGCCAGGACAAGCATGAGGCTGGTATTCCCCGGTCCTTGTAATCAACGCAAAGAACCTGTAGGACTGCCATCTCCCACGCCCGCTGGCCGTTGAGCCGGTCTGTCGAAAGTGCCGACTCGGCATCGGGCTTGAACGCTTCATTTACCTGCCCATAGTTGAAGGTTGGCAGATTCAGCCTTAGCGCGCGAAACACCCAGGGAAAATTGTCCTGCTACCGCACTTCCGGTTAGAACCAGAAGAGCTGCAACTGAAGGAGTTCGCCGTACGCCCGCAAAACGCGAGCATATTGAACGTTTCAACTAATTCATAGATACTGCAATATATAATATGTAGATATATCTATATTAGTCTATATCCTATATCTATATTTGTATATATATAACTTGGAGAAGGACAACCCTGTACGCACTGTGGGCTGCGCGAAGACATGTGATGACATGCGGGGACACTTCCGCCCAGCGGTTCTGCCGGAGAAATACTTTGTATTTCTACCGCGCCATATGTCATATATGTCATATGACATATTTTACGCTAACACGGAAACCTTCGATAATTTGTGTAAACATTTGGAAACCTCATCGCGGATCTTTCACGGATGGTTTGGACAGCGCCTGAAGGTCTAGAATATAAAACCTTAAATGGAACCTATCACGCGCCCCTTTAGACAAACTCCAAGCATATGTACGGTACATTTTTTATATGCAGTACATTCCATATTTTATAACATATTATATAATATAAGAAAAAACAATAGTGTTTCTAAAATTTACGTTTCTTTACTGCCTTTTTGTTTGTATGCCGAGAAACGCTTCCACGCAAGCCCTGAATTTGGAGAGCTGTTTAATTCTAAACAGGCGCTCCGTGAACATTCCCCAAAGTTGGTTGTGTAGCGCCACTGTTGACCCAATGGCCGCATCGAAATTGCACCCCGTGCAACCCTTGACAGCTCTCAAGTGCACCTTCAGGCACAATGGCATTTCGTCGGGCTGGTTCGGCTCAGGTGGAAGAAGGGAAACCAAACTAAGAAAGACCGGCAGGCCTGAAGGATCCTCCAGGGGTAAAAATTGAAAAACGATCGACGATCGACGATATCTCCTGATGAGTCTGGGAAAACCGGGGTAGCCCGGGATGGCACCAAAGTCCATGCTGACAACGCCGGCCGATACCACTGATATACCGCCGATATACCGTATATAAGTATACAGCTGTACAATACAATACTTTTCTGCAGCTGGCCAAAGCTGAGCAACAACAGCGGATCATATTGAATGATTCATCATATGGGACAGCGTTCAATCTTGGGGGCCCACATCTGAACGTTTTCCGCAAAACTCATATTTGATATTGCCGAGTTGACAACAAAACCTCTCGCGAAACTACACAAAACATGACGTCCTTCTCCATGCTCTTCAGCAGAGCATTCGTCAGGAAAACGAAAACGCTGGCCAGAACTGAAGGTTGGACGCTGCAAAGGTGCTCGAGACTCTCTGGCTTGATCACCTCAACGCACTTCATTGGATCCTTCCGGAGCTCGGTGAAATATTCGTGGATTTTCTCCACGTGCTCGACGAAGTCGGAAGCCACTTGGCCGATTTTGTTTCCTCGACTGCCTTCCCCGCAAACTTTGGCAGTAGCATCGGTCAATGCCTTCAATGACTTCTGGAGCTGGCGGGTCTTGAACTTTCCGTTCCACAATTGCTCGTCACTGTAAGTAGCTTGCTTGTTTCTCAACATCTCCTCTGCCTTCTCCAAATTTTGGGCAGCTGCCCGTACAGGGTTGCCCGCAGGAGCGTCTTTCCTCCTCCTCTTCCCTTGTGGCGCGGACTCCGACTCCTTTTCAAGCTGATCTTCTTCGCGAGCATCGGCATGGAACTCAGGGAATGCCTCCATCGGTCCACCACACATGCCTTTGAGAAAAGACTCGGCGCCAGCGTATGAAGAGGAGGAAGAACGAATTGGTGCACGCGCAAAGGAACGAAAAGACATTGCGTCAGGTTCGTCGTCACTCATTGGCTCCTCTTTCGCGGAACACCCCTTTGACTCTGACCTAGATTTGAACTTCTCACACACCTCATCCACGGCCTTCTGCGACATCAAGTTTCCCTCAAATTCTCGCAAGTCTTCTGCCTCTAGCTTCCAAGCTGTTTCCCCGGTGGCTCCGGACTGAAACTTGTCCACCTTGCAAGACGCCGCGGGCTAAGGTTCGGCGGTTTAGGCTTCTTGGCTTGTATAAGGTGCGGCGCACGCAGATTCGGGTTTGGGATTGGGGCGCTTTGGGGCCGTACTGTATACTGTATACTGCTGTATAGTTCATATATGTTGTATGTTATTCAATTTCGTAAAAAATAAGGAGGACACACCGCATCGGGCAAGGTAAGTGTTCTGCACGCTGCATGCTCCTGTCCTGTAAACAGAGTGTACTTTCCGGCAAAAACATACACCCGTGCTCGGTCAGAGAGTGGCCTTCTCTTTGGAGATCTGGTGCTTGCCTCCCACTCTGGCGCGTCTCTCACCGTCCAACAAGAGAACACAGAGCTTCCCTTCGTCTTCTGTCACAGGGATTCCGAGCTCCTGAAATCACCATGGACGCGCTTTGACACTGTTGTAATGTTCTTACAACTCACCCAAATTATTGCGCCAAAGAGTTTTGTGATTTCCCTGATGATCAATCAGGATCGATTACCTGGCCTGATCCGACATGTTCTGTCAAACACCCGACTAGCAGCTAGCAAGAGCATGATGGCCAACTCTTTCTAGCCCGTTTCACAGACCCGATGAGCGATCTAGGCTCCTCCATGATGAATTGCGCTTTCTCATCCGAGTTTTTGAACTGCCCTTGGTCAAGTCCCTTCTGCCTGAGAAAGTCGTCCACGGACAGAACCCTCCCCTCATTGTAGAAGTCAACGTACTTGTCCTCTGCCACCTTGATGTTCAAATCATATTGATCCTGTTGGCGGCGACCGCCGCAAGCGTTGCACGCCCGCTTCTCACGCCAAAGCTCAGTGGCATCCTGCGCAAAAACACCAGGACGAGCAAAGCAACTTGTCAAGCCAAGCTGACGGCAGCTAGTGAACCAACCTCCAAAAACACAACATCAGCTTAAAAAACTTCAGAATCAGAAGCTCTACACTCACAGGCTTTTACATTCTCAAGCGCATTTTGCCCTGCATAGTCCTCGCTCTCCGCAAGTCTCTTGTTGAGCTCTTTTTGGGGCATCGCCTTGAAGTTGCGTGTGCGGGTTGCCTCAGGCAGCAGTTTCGAATGACAAAGGCCTACTACCGATTAGATGTCAAGACTGCAGCCTACCGTACCCCCTCCAAAAGAAAGCAATGCTTTCCATCAACGGACATTTGATTTAGAGACAGCGCTTGAGCAAAGGATGGTGTTACAATGGTCCACCACAGTGTCAAGACTACAGCTCAACCACCTATCACCTATCCAATCCAAAGCACCAAGATAGGGCCCAACATATTTATATCAAGATGGATGATAATCTCATCATATATATATACTATTTTTGCTCCCCCCAAACAACAGTGGCGGAATGCAGTGAAGTTGGGCGGTTGGTCGTTGTGGATCCAAGTCCTAGTAAAATAAACGGTCAGTAGCCAGTAGCCAACTTCATACTGCCTGGATACGCGGCAGCCACCGCATTCAAACCCCTCCTCCAAATCTCTGCAGCCTGTTGCCTGCAGCCATTAGGTCTGGGTGGTGAGGAGCGTGAAGCAGTTAAGCACACAGCATGC